AGCTGCCTCGCCTTGCCTGAGCTCCACCCGGGCTCGCAGCAGAGAGGGGAGGCAGTGAAATTTGCTATTTCAAGGCAGCCGAGCAGAGCTTGTGTTTCAATTTTGTGTTATTCAGGGCAATTTTAAGAGTAAATCATAGAATGGTTTGGGTTGGAAGGGACCTTAAAGCTCATCCAGTCCCAACCCCCCTGCCAGCAGCAGGGACACCTTCCACTAGATCAGTAAAATGAAAATTAATCTCACAAGCCTCAAATGTTTTCCTAGAACATCATGGGAAAGTGACAGAAAAGGACCAATTGTATAGGGATACCCCACTGTATCCCTATCTGTGCCTTCTCATTTCCAAGCCATTTCCCCCTTCACAAGCACTGAACAGGCTCAGTTTGCAAACCCCAGTTTATTAAGACAACTGCTTGGCTCACTAATCCAAACCTTATCCAGTCAGGGATGTTTGGTTTCGATGTACAGATAAAGCTTCAACTTTCCTAGAGAAGAGGCTTTAGAATAACTGCCCTTCCTAAGGGATGAATGCAAACATCAGAGGTTCTATGAAAATATAACTTTACACAGAGCATGTGTGCTACGTAAGCATGTTACAAGTAGAGGAAATTGATGAGTAAATCTTGAAGAAACAAACACTTCAGAAAAAAAATTTGCAATTCAAATACAATTGATTTCATTATAACAACCCCATGCTCTCTTTACTAACCCACTACAGATCATGCAACAGAGAAACTATTTCCAGGGAGGAAGAAAATCTTTGTTTATTTTCCAAAAGAGATGTATTTTCCAACCCCCCCCCCCTCCCCTCTCCCCCACAGCCCATTGATGAACTTGTTCATTAATGAACTTTCCTACTGCTGTCTGTTAAGGAGAAAGCTACCATAACAAATTGTCCAGAACAGGAGGCAGGTTGTGTTGTGCCAATGTGGCACAGAGCCACCTAAAAGCCTTGAGCTACTTCCTGGACAGTAAAGCAGTGAGAAAGTAAATGGCATTGTTGCTGCCTATTAAAGCTAGCAAAAAAATATAAAAGCCAGTAGGAACTTGTTGGATTTCCATAGTAAAATAAAGTTATGAGCTCACTGTTAACAGGAGACGATATAAAACATCTCAGCATTCACTAGAAAATGAGTAAAACACAGTATAATGCGTGCAGAAATATACAGAAAGCACTTGCACTAGTATAAAAATATCCACAGTCCTCAGACAAACGTAAACCGGTACAAAAGAATTCCAAGAATAGGAATGTGTTTACAAAAGGACATGTTAATATAAAACAGCAAAACCAGGTTCATCCTCTCCCAGCCTCATGCACAGCACAGACACACAGGTAGTCCACAGAAGGGCCACGTGTACCGAGAATGAGCAGAGCCTTGACTTGCCATTTGATCTTCTAAGTCAACACTGTCTGCTGCACATCACAGCCAGCACTCTGGAAGTAGAGCTGACTGGCACCAGAAGGGCAGAAATAGACAATGTAGAAACAAACAAAAAACCCACCAAAATGAAAAACCCACCTTCAGGTATTTTAGGGCTTGTTCTTTCCCAGGCACCCAGGGATCCTTCAGGTCATTTATTTCCTGATCCTTCAGGCACCCCAGGAGTAGGCATACCAGGGACCTGGTGGTCTAACTGATGGGGTTCATCCTACTGGTGTGTATAAGTGTTCAGTGGCTCTAGGAGTGTGTGGACAGCAGCACACAGTGATTCCTATGCACAGGAGGTGACAAACTGTCTGCCTTGCTGAAAGAGGAGAGGGCAGGAGTGAAAAACAAGGAGAGGGGTTATAAGTACCTCAGGAAAGCAGCTGATGCCAGCTCCCCCACAAATGAAATCCTTCAGCAAATAAGCAAGCACCAAGATCCCACAGTCCCCATGGCAACAAAGCAAACCCAGAGTGCCTCTGAAGTGAGAACAGCTTTGGAGAGCAAGTGGGAAAAGCAGGGATAGGAAATGGAAGCCTGGGTTTGGGAGAAAGGGAGCTTTGCCAAGCTAGTGATCTTTGCTTTAGACCATGTGCAAAAACTCCAGAAGACTGTTGTCCCTCCCCAGGTCAGATTTCTATACTGTCAGTCTGGAATGTCCAGAAAGTTCACTCTGCTCCTTCAGCATGTGCAAGTCCAGGACCAAAGTTGGTCAAACCTTCAGCTCACATAATCTAGTGGCTTCTTCTGACTCATGAAGGCAAAGCTTCACATTTTTGCCATCAGTGCAGATTTATGTAATACAATGTACAAGGAACCAGACTTGAAATGCCCAGATCACAGTCTGCAGCACATATTGCAGGAATGGAGAAGGAGGGGAAAGGAGCGATGCATCATTAAGGCCTTCAGGGTTTAGTGGACAGGACAAAGCAAGGTGTTTCTTTCCCACAGACCTGCCACTTCAGTCTCAGAACAGTGTCTGCATTTGGCCATGGAAAGTCAGATGCCAGGTGTCCGTGCACACAACATGCATTACCCTTTGTTTGCAGAGAAGCCCTCTTTTTTGGCAGCTTGAATTGGACTTCTTCCAGCACACATGCTTTTTGGTCATTCTTTGAGCTCAGCAGCCAGTTACAGTCACCTTCCATAGTGACAAGACTTAAAAGCTTGATTAATTCTCCCCATGGTCTTCTTCCACCCAGGCCACAATTTTCCCCTCCCAACCAGGAATGATGTCATCATCATGGAATACCTACAAAGAAAAAAAAGAGTCCAGTCATGTCTGGAGTCTGGATGCCACTCTTCTACAGTGTGAGGAGCACAAGAGGCAGGCATTAGGTCAGAGATCCTAGTTCAGATTTCACTACACAGCCCAGAGACGTGATGCGACCACAGTCTCCAGGGTTGTGTGGTAACACTGAACCCAAAGCAGCCAATAGTTAAATTCCACACTTACCTCCTCCTTGACAGTGCCAAACTCTGGATCCAGGGCTTTGAAGTGGTAGCGGTGGGTTCCTTCACGATCAATAGCTACCTTAAAATCCTTCAGAGTCACTTCCCCTAACCTGCAAGGGAAGGGTTTAGAACTATCCGATGGTACACCATTACAGGATTTAGATCAAGCATTACTACATGGCATGCAGAGCCACAGCACAAGGCATGTGGCACCCTGGCCACAGGAATGTGAAGACTGTGCCCTTCCAGGGACACATCTGTCAACCCCAAGGTCCTCTTCAGAGGAAAAATTGCCTCCTGATGTACTAAAAACCACCTCAAACCAGCCTTTTTCATTTTCCCTTTGCATCTACAACCATAGTTGTTTTGACAGGAGCATCTTGCACTACGTGGTACAGTAGAACTGCCTGGCTCTTGGAAATAATTTATTTTTTTTTAAAAAAAAAGAAAAGAGAGATTAATATTGTAGGGCTCTAAAACAAATGCATCAGCTAGGGGACTGCTTTAGGCAATTTCCCCCAGACAGTCGTATGAAATTGAATGCCCAAGTTAATGCACAGGGAACCTGTGCTAGTGGTGACGATACGCAGAAGAGACCAGACTAATGCTTTAAGGGAAAAAAGCACCTTCTCACATCAGTGTCAGCAAGGCAAAGCCAGACCTCACCTCTTTGGTATGGTGACCATAAAAGGTGTGAGGGAGCGGTCAGTGAAGTACACCACTTTGGTGCAGGCACTGGTGCTCATCACAGGTGTGCTGTGAGAATGAGGCAGTTCTGCGAAGAAAAGAGCACAGTCATTGGGGAACAGGAGACACACACGAGACAAAAGGGGTGGTCTCAGCAAATCTGCCATCACAACAGAGAACCTGGTGATGGTAAGAGATTCTTAGGAGGGTGGCTAATCTTCCCTGTTCAGAAGGGCCAGGTATTCTGCTGTTTACTGGAAAACTTTGCATTTTAAGGTAGGGTCACCATCCAACCGTGTTGTTAGCATGGAAGATTTGCCTAGCACTGTCCTCCAGGATTACTGTCCCATCCCATTTGCTCCACAGATACTCTGTTCACTACCTCAGCACAGTAGAACCTTTCTGGAAGAGAGAAAGACTGAACAGCACCCCATCCATGTATAGCTACATTATCACTTGTCTTCACTTGCAGATGAGCAGAGCAGGGTGAAGTGACTGATTATCATTAAGGCAAAAGGTTATCTGTCTCCTCCCCTTCTTCCCCACCTAGTAGGCCAGGATGGGTGTTTGTGCATGGATCTTTCTTTGCTCATTTGTGTTTCTCTCTCTCTCTGGCTACTGCCTTGTTTCCTGCTTCCCTGTAACGTGCTGTGCCAAAAGCTGAAGCAGAGGAAGGTTCAGACTGAGTGACTCTACAGTTTTAAGATCCCTAGTGTGCAGAAAACGCTATGGACACCTATTCAATGGCTTTCTAATTTAACAAGTCTTCGGAGCCGCCTCTTCGAGCTCTTTACACCCAAGGCATTCTACGTTTGTGGCTGCAAAACTCAATTTTCTTGCTGCAGTAGAGCGGAAAGGAGTCTGCAAACAGGGAGAGGTACAGTTTGCATGCAGAGAACACATGACTATGGCTGCTCTAAAAACTGCAGTTTATGGGAGAGAGGGGAGAACCTAGCAAATCCTCCCCACAACCCACTTCAGGCTTCTGAGTTCCTTTCCTACCTTCCTCTGCATCTTGTACCTCCAGGCTACCCTGCTGCTGGACAGTACAATGCAGTTGAAAGGTGGAGGCCTCTGTCTTTCCCCAGTACCTACCCCTATAACTTTGCAGACTTTCTAGGTGACCTTTATAACCAATATTGGAAAAAACAGCCTTCATGATGAAAAGCAAACATGGAGCTGTTGCAGCTGGAGCCAGGAAAGGTGGTGTCAGAAAGGGCTGTGCTGTTATGCACATATGAAAGGAGCTAGACACTGAGGGAAGAACAGAGGAAGAGGCAACTGCACAGTTGTGTCCACTAGATAGTGCAAACCAGCAGGAAAGCTGAAATAACATCATGTTTCCCACTCATCCCAGGGGTAACTGTCAGTTTTTTATACTGCAGTACTACCAAAATGGCCCAGACAGACTCCCACTATGATGGTGCTTTACAACCCAGCAGCCAGAGATTGTCTCTGCCCCCCTTTCCTTTGCAGGGAAGTCTATTTGGTACAGCAAATGACTAGAGGGAGGCAAGCGAGCTCTGGTAAAGGGAATAAGAAAGCTGGAGGTGGCAGATTCCCAAGGGGATGGTATGCCCTGGACTCTGGACAGGAAACCAGAGCAATGAATTTGGCAGTGGAAGGACAGGAGCTGAAAGGTACTTACTGGATTTGGGAGGCCAGGAATCTCTACACTCATTTGTTGCTCTGCTTGCTGGTGATTTCCCCCAGATCTAGGGTGTAAAGCCAAAAGAATGAGAACAAAGAGTTACTTCCCAGTTGGAGCTCTCATTGTTGCTTAGCTCTGGGTTGTGTATGAGGGGCAGAAGTTAAGAGCCAAGCGCCCTACCCTTCTCTCTTGCCTCTTCTGTGTTTCCATACGGTACAGCCGTTCCATCAGGCTGGATATGCCCTGCTCCAGGCTGTCAATGGTGTGATGCTGTGGATCGTGGCCACTGAAACTGTTCCTGAGGCTGCGAAGGGCATCACGAACCAACTGCAAGTCATTTGTCTGCCCAAGAGACCATGAGTCAGTCAGACTACCTCCAGGCTGCTTTCTTCACATCTAAAGCCACAGGTCTTAGACAGGGGAAATCTCTCTTAACAAGACAATAGCTTCCAGGATATCTGGAGCCCTCATCTCCATCTGGCTGGGAAAATATCCCTTAGGTGCACTTACCCCTTGGTGGGCTGTAGGAGCAGCTCCTTTTCCTGCTGTCTGGAGGAAGCCATTGCTCTGAGCACTGTGACCACTGTAAGCCATCACCTGTTCAGGGGGAGATGCAGGTGCCACTAGGAATGTGTTTTGGACCTCCACAAAGATCTCAATTTGCAAACTTCAAGATTATGAGAAGGCATGAAAACTTTCCACATCAGTGATAAAACTCCCATCTTCTGCCAGGTAAATACACTCACTAAGGAGCTGGCAGCCAGTCCTATAGGTCACAGCACAAACATGATTCCTCACATACAGGTGGGGAAAAAAAAAAAGGCAGAGACAGGAAGGGGTTGCTGCTAGAGCACAGAGTGCTCTGCAAGCTCTAGTGAGCACAACTGGTGTTCAAGTGGCACTGTACAGAGACAGATATTGGGGCTGGCCCTCTTTCCCCCAAGACAGTTCCAAGTGGTCAATACCAGGGTCAACAGGAAAAGAAGGAGATAAGAAGCTAAGCCGTGGTCTAACCATTAGCCAGATGTCAGAGCTGAAACTAGAAGCCAAGGGTCTCTGTCTTCCACTCACTCCTGAGCTCCCCTCACAGTTTCAACCCTTAGGATTTTGACACAAGAGGATAAACCAGAGTGCTGACTGCTGAGGGCTTTGCTAAGTTGGATGCTTTGCAAAATCTGGCTGCCTTGGTTAGGGCACTGACAATAAGATTACAGAGCCAGGCCTCTCTGGGATGAAGTGAATGATTTCTGGAAACAGGTAGCTAGAGGGTGCTGGACAGAAACATCACTCCAAGTCTGATGTGTAGACCAAGGCTTCCCATACCTCTTCAGCTTCTCTCTTCATGCAGCGGGCTAGCAGGGCCTCTTTGTGCTCCAGCTCCCGTTCCAAATCCACCTGTGAGAGGAGTAGAAGATTCAGCACAAACTGAGCCACCAAGGTAAGTGCCAGTTCTCAGGGTGTCAGCGCAGGCCACCTGCTCCATACCTGCTGGTAGCTGGCCTCAGAAAGCTGCCTAAGCATTTCATCCAGTTTAGACTGATGCTGCTGTAAATGTCGATCCTTCTGGCCCAGTTCTTTCTGCAAGACAGTAACCAAGAGAATCACCAGGGCAGTGAGTAAGGCTCACAATCATCTTCCCATGGCAGGGAAGGTTGTGTCATCTGCCAGGATCAGGTTCCTCTACAGGCTAACTTACACAATGTGTGTAGTTCTAGCTAAATGCTCATACTAAGTATTAAAGCTTTTTTTCTAAAAGATCAGTCAGGTTCTTGTTGCCTAGAGTCTCCTTGCCCAGCAAAGATCCACTACTGAGGCCAGACAACTGTCCCAGAGAAAACAGATTCCTGAGGGATCAGTGGACAATCAGGAGACTCAACCTAACCCGACAGGCTTCTGCACAAGTGTTAGATAATCAGCAAGCCATCCCAGAAAAACCATGACAATAAAAGATCTACTATAAAAAGCTGTGGGGAGAACAAAAAGGACATATGATCCTTCCATCTCATTACAAACATCCATGGCTATCTCAACTTCTTCACTATCCACCATGCCATTCCAAGAGGTGACTGAGTGCCAGGGAGACAGCAGTCACATTCCCAAAACTGAAAATCCACCAGCTGCTGCCCCCAGCAAAGCCTCCAGGGAAGAGAGGTTCCTTTACTTTGTATTCTGCTAGTAGCCGGTTTCTCTCTTCAACCTTCCTCTGAAGGTCAACCTGCAGAAATAACACAGAGGTGTGAGGTTACGTATTTGTGACAACCTCTTTGCCCCTTATGCTAAAGGATGACCTGAGACCAAATATCTGCAGAGTTCAAGGGAGCTGGTGTCTAAGGATGGCAACCTTTTGGACAGGTCAGTTCCTTCCTTGCCCTTCTCTCTCCAGAGAGATACTGTACGTGGCAGCACCACCTGTCAAAGTGCCACTTGCTAACCCAGGGAGCACAATGAGGAGGAAAGAAAATAACTGTACTGAAAACATCATGGGAAGCCCCTCCCTGTTTCAGCTGAAGGTCTTAGAGGACAGGAAGCAGCAGTGAAGAACAGGAAACTCCAGTGAGTCTCACAGCTGGCTAGTAGACTATGTGCAGTTTTTACTATGCAGAGACCTTTGACTGGTTGTTCACTATCCCACGACCCCAAGAACTAGGCTGCAACTACCAACTCCACCCTGTGGCAGCTGGAGCACTCAAGGCCGCCAACCTCCTTCTAAAATAATCTAACCCTCAGCAGCACAGTGACTCACATTCTGGTTGTGCAATTCGTCCTTGTCCATGTTTGCTCTCAGCAGTTCCTGCTTTAGCTGAAGAACTGCAGCATCCTGTTGAATCAGCCTTTGCTGTAAAGCATCCTAGGAAAAGATGTTATTTGTAGAAAGGTGCAAGACAGAGGCAGAAACCCTTCCCTGGGAAATGAGCGACCTAGAGCAGTGGCCGTAACACAGTGGGGCCACTTACAGGGCTAAAGTGTTGCCAAGGGCCCAAGAGAGCAGGAAGTATATAGACATCTGCCCAATGGTCTTTCAGCCCTTCTGCCTTTCTCTGACCCAGAAAGTGATTTCCCTGCCAACATTCTAGCCATCTGGGACAGAGGGATTTCTGAACTTCCTGCTACAGAAGTGGGCTGACAATTTGCTCTTATGGAAGAAAACAGCAGTGTCTTTGGAGGGCCTTTTCAGTGGCCTACAACTAGTGTCTCCAGCCATGCATCTGCAGCATCCAGAGGGCAGAAAGAGGCCAACATCAGCTAAGGACACAAGGAAACATAAGCTCTCAGTGTGACCTAGCTGTGCAATGAAATCCTCCCTGAAGAGGCCAAAGTCAGGACTAATTCTGCACCTTTCATTCAGTGTTAGCCAGAAGCCAAGTGCTTTACCTTGGACAGCTACTGCTATTTGCTTCCTTCACAGGAGCTTGACAGGCAGCTCCAAAAATACCTCTGCTCAGGAGCAGATTATTAGTGTTCAGAGCTCCAGAGGGAGAAACTGAGCAAACAGGAGCCAAAGTTGTGAAAAATGCTGCAGCTGAAGAGGAAAAGGATAGCCCCGTGCTCTTTTTCCTTTGCTATCAAGAATGAGTTCACTGTGCCAATGTTACTGTGCGTACCCCACACAGAGGGGGGAAAAGAAAAGCCATGAGAACCAAGCAGGCATCCTACACCTCATATTTTGTTGAGGTGAAATGGACAAAAGAAGAGACATTTAACCACAACCCTACAGGTAGAAACAGAACCCAGGAGACGTAACTCCTTGTGCCTGCTTTAATTGCAGTCTCTCCCTGGAGCCAGAGACCATAGGATCTCCCATCTCCAAGTCCCCTCATACAACTCCCTCCACAATCTGAAATTGCTCAGAGGTGTATGGTTGCTGCTTGCCCTACTCATGGGCTGCAGCAGACTCTAAAGCTTTACTATTTATATTTGATGAAGTTACCCTTTCCTCACCTTTATTCCCTGTAGGTTTCGAGCCTCTTGTTTGTATTTCAATAGCTCCTTCTGTAAATGCAGCACAATTTGATTAAATGGTGTCTTGTCACCCCTTCCGAATCAACCAAAGTCAGTGTTCTCTGTCCCCAGATACTCACTTCATAAGAAAGCACATCCCACCTTTTCCCATGGGTCAAAGAGCATGTCAGGCCCTAAGCCATTTTAATGAGTTACAAACATGACAAAACAGTTGAGCTGCTCCCTAAGGCCCTGCTGTTACAGTCATGAAAAAAAAAGATTGCCTACTTCTCCAAATCTGTCCTCCAGGGCAATGTCAAATACTCCTTTCCCAGCATCAGAACTGGTCCCAGAGCTGGCACCAGCAGAAAGCTGAACTAAGGCAGGCTTGACAGGGCAGGTTTTTCTTAGTTGCACTTATTTCCTACTTAAGAGATTGTTTATATTCAGATATGGCTAGAAACTTAATAACTGTCCTGGGTGAAGTCTGGAGAAGCTAGTACAACCTAGATGCCTCCAGCTTCAAGAACACACAGGAAAAATGTAATTCAGGGCTCATGTAAATTCCAGTAACACTTAGATACGTTACCACCAACTGACTTTACCAGCATTGGCTTGAGGCAAAGTGGGGAGGTAGCGTATATTTTTCTGCTGCTATCCCACAAACTTTTATTAACTGCTCATATGGATACAATAAACACTTCCCTGCCATGTATTGTGAGAGCTCTGCAGGTCAATGAATTATGGTTTCAGGGAAGCAGATATCTCCACTCCTTGAGGGATGGAGTTCCCACACAGCAGAATATGGGAACAGAGTTGGAGCCTAACACAATATATTCCCCATGTCATCTGTCATGTTGTCCACCTTCCCTGTCTCTGCCCTGCCTGCCCACCACCCCCCTCTTCCTCCTTCCCTCCCCCCCCAAAAAAAAAATCAAGTAGGACAGGATCTACAAAGATCTCTTGATCCAAAACCTCCTTCCCCTTCATCTGTCTTCCTCTAACCTTTAGGTCTTGATTTTCTTCCACACTCTGGTCCAGGCGACTTCGAATTATGATCTGAATGTAAAATACCACGGTTATTATTGTGCAAGACACCTGCCGGTGGCAGGTGCTGAGGGCAGCTTGATCAGAGATATGCGAGTACAGCAATGTGCTCACCAGCTGCTCTTCAGGGCAGGCTCCACGCTCACAAAGTTCAAAGGACCCTTCCTGTTCATCCTCAGGTAAAGATCCATTGAGCAACAAAGCCTGGGAAGATGAAGGAAAAAAGAAATCTTCCATGGTTTTAGTGCCTTATGGGGTATATATATATGTACATCAGGTCCCTGATATTTCAATCAAACTCTCATGAACTAGAGGCTCTTAAGTATTGAGCAAGAGGAGGAAAATCAGTTAATCAAATCCAATTTCTTGGCTAGCAACATCAGCTGCCTCTCCCAGGGTATGAGGGGACAGCAATGCCAGCTGCTTACCCTCACTCCTGAAACATGGGGCCAGAGTTGGAGGAACAGGACATGCCAATTCCTCCACTGACACCTGTCCCTGCTCTCAGAGGGCACATAATGCAACCAGATTTTATCAGTGAACCAAGCTTTTTTTTTTTGTCTTTTGTTTCCTGCCCATTGTCCACAGGGAAAGTGGCTGCCTGCCCGCCCACCCTCCAACCTCCGCCCTGGCTGCCTATGCTTCTCACACAATCTCTGCTTTGTTTACTGGCACATAAATATTTACAATTCAAAGCCAGTGTGGTTCCCAGCACAAACAGAAAGGAATATTCTGAGAGAGTTCAGGGTCTTTACTATACAGACTGGGGGCTCTACTCCCCATGTAGAGTCAAACACTTTGGGCTGAGGGTCATTTGGACAGGGAGGGACTGGAACAGGGCAGCAAGAAAAAGGTCCAACAATTAAATAGTTGCATAGAGAATATGCCAAATATATAGTTCAGCCTAGCTCACTGAAAGACTGATGTAAGCCTGTGTGACCCCTGATCAGCTCTGTGAATCTCAATTGATTTCCTGACATTCCTTGTCTCTCTGCATTACTTCCGATCACAAATCACAGAAAGACTGCTCTATTCTCTCAGGCTGCTAACAAAACCTGCAGGCTGCTAAGCACCCTGGTGAAGAAGGGGTGTCCCAGCCACTGCACATGGGAAAACATTACTGCATCTTTACCATTTGGCACAGTACAGCACATACAGGAGTTAGCATAGCATCACAGGACAGGGCACCAAGCCAAAGAACCCAGCTAAGATCTGGACTCCAACCGAAAGACAACACAGACATAATCACCTTCCAAATACAGGTTTTGTTTTAGATTCTTCTATAGTGGTTCTGTTCTTACCTGCATTCAGTATGCCCTTCCCCTCCCACAGTCCACCTAAATTACTATTAGTGAATATCACTGATCCTCACTGGTCTTCACTAGTGAATATCACTGGTCTTCATAGCAATATAATCATCTTCTCTCTCTCTCTCCACACCTTTCTTTCTCCCTCCCTACTGAATAAGAACCTCAAATCATGACAACACTGAGTTTTGGAGATGCCTAAGCTAAGAAAAAGAAAAGGTTGTGCCTGAATTGCACAGACTGCCATTAAAATCCTTTCTCTGAAAGCCTAGTAAATATACTGGGGCTAGGGAAGTTGCAGTCATCTTTCCTCCTTCCCTGGGCTCTCCTGCTTAAGCATGTTACACAATGACAGGGGACAGGCATACCCTGCCCCAAGCAAGACTGTGGCTGGATCCAACTGTCTTCTTGATTGCATGTGGGACATCAGAAAGGACAGTTTTGGCATTCTGCATTCTGGTAAAGTTGACCAGCACCAAATCACAATTGCAGGAGCCAAGAGAGCCTAAACATTACAAGAAAGGAAGATGTCAAAAGTACTTAGTCAGTAGCATTCTGTTGCTGGATAAGGCCTCAGCTGGCTGCAGCTAGTACACAGTAGCCACGCTATCTGAAATACTTCCTCATTCCTGAGGAACTTTTCTCTGAAGGGACTTGTCCCACAGGGTGAGACACAGAGAAAAGCCACTGTCTCTGTTTAAACAGAGGTGACCCAAGAGATCAGTTGACTTCTTGCACAATCACTCCAAGAGACCTCACTGGACCAGGACTCTTACTCAACTCTCTCGAGTTCCAGGCCAGTGTCTCAGCTGCAAGATAACCTGTCTTCCAGATACAGCTGGTGGGAAAATAAGTGTATGTGGGAGGGATTGCTGGCTGAGAAGAAAATCTATTACCTGCAAACCTGAAATCATCTTCTTCGCTTCCTCCATTTCCTTTTCCAAATGGTCCTGCTGTTCCAAAAGCTGCTCCTCCCATGAATTCTCCAAATATGACACAGGGTTCCCTGCTTGCCATTCAAGCTGGAAATTAGATTCTGTCTCTTCTGGAAGACAGAGCAGCTGAATGTGGTCATGACAGACAGAGGAGCCCAGAAAAGACTTGCACCACACAATAATTGCCTGCTGTCCACACTAGCTATCACTAACAAACCAGCATGTCTTCTAGCCAGTGTCAAGGAAATTGCTACAGGTGCAGCATCTTGTCTAATCTCAAGGATTTATGCCTTACTCTTTATGCAAAGGAAGGTCTCCTGCATACATATATATCAAAGCTGAGCATCCTTCCCCTTCATTAAATTTGCTGCATCTGATTCCTCAGTACTGGAGATTTCAAGGCACATCACAGGTGACAACACACTGCACTGTACATGGTAGAAAATATCTAAGGGAAGAAAAGCAACTGAAGAACGTGTCTTAGTGTTAGAAGGTGCACCAATGACCCGCTGAAGGCAACATTAAACAGTATTTCTACTTGTCAAACAACATGGCTTTCTCAAGGTGGACAAAACACCTAATTCTGAAAAATACTTTTCTCTTAATAGCAAGTTGAATAGCCTTGCATGCCTTTTCTGATAGCATAAGCTATCATCCACTGGCTGGCCCAGGAATGTAGATGATTTTTTTTTTCTTTTTCTTCCCTAAGAAGGGATGTGGTTTGACAGGGAATAATCAGAGCAGTGCTTGTTAGCTAGTTAACCAAAAGTGTAATTGCCCAATGCAAGCTGCTGTGCACCTGTAGACATGCAGCTGCAATGTCCTACTGTATGGGCAGCAAGCAGACACAGTACAACTAAGAATTTAAGGAAAAGCCACAGCCTGCCAGCTACTTCAGGTGCTGAGATAGTCTGTCAAATACTTTCGAAGGAGCACTAAAGCAGGACATACTGTCTGAGGCAGCAAAGCACTTCCTAGGAGAGATTCTCTGTCATTTGCTCTTGGAATGGATGCTAACCAGAGAGTTATTAGTAGGCTGCAAGCTGGCAAGCTCACATGGATTCTTTCTTTAAGGGAATTTTAAATGTTTTGGGCTTTTTTCCAACATGGCCTAATGAAGCTGTGATTAAAGCATTCACCTTATAGTGAAAATTATATATCACCCTCTCCAGAGCTTTTTATTTCTCAAGCATTATTTTGCAAGCCTCAGACATCGCTGCATTACGGCACTATTGTAGTGTTAAAAGTTTTGAGCTTTAGTTTTATGTGGACAGATACTCAGTGTGACATCCTCTACATTCATTTCAGTCACTGGGGAGCTTTTCAGCAAGTATATGATACAAACAAATCTCAGTGGAAGCGTGAGCTGTCTTATCACAAGGTACCTGTTTTAGTTTCTGTTTCTTCAGTGTGGATAACCACAAGTCTTTCCTTCTCCTCTGACGGGGCTACGGTGGATTCGCTCTTTGCACTATGGATAGGACTGGGCGATGCAAGACTGTAGGGGAAAGGAGAAACAGTTACTTCTAGTGCTGATCAACATCATCCTCATTCAAGATAAAAGTGAACATGCAGACAGGCTTGTTGAAACTAAAGATTATCTGCATATTAGAGAAGCCAATAACAAACCAAAGTGGGCATGTAACTTTTCCATCACTCTACATCAGTGTCAGAGCAGGCTAACTGATAAGTAGCACAATATGTCTCTTCGTTTTCCTTAACTATCAGAATGCCAATTTGAGACTGCTACCACAGAATTCACATATACTCACACAGGGGTAAGACCACACTCTGCTGAAGGTCTGCTCAGGACCAGTTTACTGCAAGCCTTATGTTCATACTGCAAACCGAACAAAAAGCCACCCTGGTTTGCTTCATCTCTTGCTCCAGCTTTCAAAAGCACCACGTCACTACCTTGAAATTCCAAGGGCAAAATATTTTTGAAAGTCAGATACCACTCACTCATGTTCTTAGGTTAAAAATTCATGAAAGTAGCCACCTATTTTCAGTGGAGCTATCTCATCTGACTGTGAGGTTCAAGCAATCTTTTCAGAAATTCTTCCTAAATGCATCACCCAGACAACATCAAAAGGTGGCTGAAGCTCACTGACCCATTCAACGTACCTCTAAAGTCACAGGAACTAGTCCTTGCAAGTGTGAGGAGGTGTTAATTTTTCATTCTCTCCAACACAGAAACAAAGGACGGAGAACAAAAAGAAAACAGCGTGGAAGTAAAATAATAGGTTTAGAAAAATAAGAGGCTTCAACAGCTCGCCCTCCGCATCTTCCCAGCACTGCTGCTGCATATTCCACAGCGTTCTCACAGAATTAGAAAAGCCTTGCAATAGAGATGGAAATTACTTGCTAGCAGCTCCCGTCTGGTCCATTCCCACAGCCAGTGCTGGCCTACTTCTCATTTATATTACAGACCTTCAAGCCATCTAGTTTTAATGGTCTCGATTAAATGGACTTTCACCATATTAAAGGAAGAGATGAATGCAACTTACTAAGTGAAAGAATAATCATCTTCTCTTGGAGATCTCTGACAGCTACAGTACCTATTCTTTCCTGGTCAAACAAGGTGTTCATGATTGTTAAAGGGGTCCAGGCCACCTGGCTTTGCTCAAGGATTTACCTTCAGGAAGTCTAACTCCATTACAGCAGTCCCCGATTAGGCACATTTTGTATACAACATGTGTACCCACCCCTCTCCTCATGCTTGTCACTGGGTGCACAGTGTAAAATTAAAATAATTGTTTGGAAGCCCATAGAATACTCTTGGGTTTGCTTTATACAGTAAGGGTGAGAGGAAAGGATGAAGCTTTCCAACAGCACAGGTACAGACAGGAAGGCCAGCTGATCTAACACATCCAGTAACTCTGAGAGGGATTTTACTTCCTTCTAGGAACAGATCTCTATATCCTTCCCACATATTCTCAGCTGATACTCTGAATGTGCCATTGAGAAATGCGTTGTTGGTTCTCATCCATGCAAAAGATGAAAGAATGAGAGCTGTCCTAGAAAAACAGTAACTGTTGGGTGAGAAGGTGGTAAAATTGAGGGATAGGCAAGAGCCTGGAACCGAAAAGAAGAATGAGCAGGACAAAAACTAAGGGCATACAGAGCCTGGAAATAACATTCCTCTCTTCCAAAGTCTGCTTCTTGCAGCACTGGACCCACAGTCCAAAGCAAATACAAAGGATCCCAGCTAGGACAGGGGATGGGGTTAAGTGCTCACTACAGGTCTCCACAACATAGACAGTTTTATAGATAATTGCTTACGCATTCCTATGTCCACAGTCCCCTTCCCAGGCAGCTTCTCTATTTTAGAAGGCCAGTGGATTCACATGGCATCAGTGGCAACCTCTCAAACCATGCCAAACAGTGAAAGAGCCACTGAGATGCACTCAGATGAAACAGCAGCACGGGTCAGGTTCCCTCATACATTATACCATCAAGTTAATGCTGGAAACATTTCTACAGTTTTTGTATCAGTCACCAAACCTGTTAGAGTATGAAATCTCCACTGATGTAATTTGTTCTTTAAAATACATAACAATTCTTGATTAAAGCATGCAGAAATAAGTGTTGGGAAATTAAAGCTATTTAAGACAGGTTTATGATGCAAACTATTCCACTTTATTTCTTTTACCAGTTGGCTTCTTAACGCATATCCTTTATCCACTGAGTCCCAGAGTTGCCAGTGCCTGCACAGTAAAGGCTTTAGAGCAACAGCCCCAGTGATAAGTCTGAATTATCATAATTTTAATAAAGACCCCGTCCCTGCTGTTTCAAATGACAATGGCAACAATCGCTCACCATTTGACCTGCTTCCCTCCCATGATCCCACTTTAACCTTTCGCCTCACAGAATCCGTTTCTCGGGGAGCCTCAGGATTCTGGCTACAGACATGCCTTGTCCCTTCACATGCTTGGAATTCAGTATAGAAGATGCCAGCTCCTGTCAAACTACTGGAGAAATATTTCCAAGCCAGACTGCTTCACATTAGCTGAAAAATTCACAGCAGAAACAAACAAAAAAACCCTCAGGGTCTTTGCAATAAATTGTCAGATAGCAGATCAGAAGCCTCCACACACGTATTTGATTCCAGAGTCGGGGAATTCTGCAGCCTCGGTTTTGCTTTTGCTGGTTTTCCTCTCAGGTTATTTGTCTCTTGCTGCTGCATTTTGGTCAGCTGCACACCCAGTTGTTTTCATCCCAAAGACTGCAATCTGGATTGCCAGTGGTGCTTCTCATCCCATTCTGCCCTCTTCAGACTCCAAGCATCTGCTGCAGATGCCAACGAACAGCCAAGAGAAGGTGCTTCTGCAAGCAGTAGGTTCTCTGCTCTTCCAGGCTTGGCTGCGGTCTCCGAAGGCAGCATGCAGCACTTCCCAGCCCTCCGCACGGCTTCCTCTTCCTCGCTATCTCCAGCTCCCTCTCCCTCCCACTGTCACACAGGCTGTGCAAGGCAGAGCCTTTTCTCAGATGCCTGGCTCAGAGTGGGGGAGGGAAGGCTGGTGGAAGGGGAGGGGAAAGGGAGATGGATGGGTGAGGGGCTCAGTGGCTTGGGAATCCATCTGATTTTGGCAATTTTTCCATGAGTCATTTCAACTGTCTTTGCTTATTAGAGCTTTTGTCTCTGGGAATTCTGTTATTCAGGCTTTGAGCTCTCTTACTGAAGAGGTAATGCAGAAACGAGCTGATGCTAGGCAGGGGATGCTGCCCTGGGACAGATGTGACAGCAGCACAATTAGCTGGAGGGGCGTGGCTGCAGTCAATAACTGCATCTCTCACCAAAAAAAAAAAGTAAAAAAAAAAAGTGGCTTTTTTCTCCCAGCCAGTTCTCATAACTAAGCTGGTACATTTCTCTCTGGAAGGAAAGAGAAACAAGCATCTTGTTTTTATCAAGAAGCCTGTTGGCAGAAGACATCCCCAGGAGCTGGGGCTCAGATTGCTCCTAATTTCTTTGGGTAGATCCCTGATCACTTATGTAAAGATTCTCACCATATTATGCCCCATCAGCAATAATATCACCATTACCATATGGTAAGAGAACTCATGGCATTATGGAGAAAAACAAAAACCATAACACAATGATTTAGGATGTGCAGAGACCCTCACCACCAAAATATAACCACATATGAACAAACAGCAGCTGTCTGACAATACATTATAGGGTAGAAGAGTACACATAAAACACTACAGCTGCGGTAAACTGAAGAGTGAGTGGAGGGAGCAGCATGAGATCACAGTTCAAGAGTCAACACCACAGTCCTGTGACATTAGCCATAAAATCCTGTTGTCAAGAGGAGAATTTTTACATCTCCCCTGGAAAGACAGCTTCCAAAGCACACTCTCTACTGACATCATGTGGAGCCAGTGGTCCAATACTGGCTCACATGGAGCTCACCCACTCTTCCCAACGTGTACTTCTGTATTTCTAAACACGACCTCACAACGATATACAACACATTTTGGGGATAAGTACAAAACATTGTCATTTTTTTCCTCCTCTCTTGGGCCAAGCAACCTTAATTCTCAGGTACATGGAAGCCATGTAAAGGACCATCAGCAGACACATCTTGCCAATAAAGTTCCTTACCTGGAAGGGTGGGACTCCAATGGCAAGTTCTGCTGCCCTTCATACTGCTGCACCAGTGCCCGGACACTCCAGTAGGGGTTTTCAATCTCCTCATCCATGCTGCTATTTCTGGAGATGATAATCATAGAATGAGGGAAGCCTCACCTGATAGGAGCAGAAATTCTTCTTGTCTCCAAGAAGGAGGGTAATGAAATTAAGGTAAGAAGGAGGGGACAGTTAGAAAACTGCCAATTAAGAAAATTGTCCTATCAGGGAGCTCCATCTCATCTCGGTGTGAGGGAAACACAGGCAAACAGGCCCTCCCCTTTTAAATTAATCTCTAATTCTGTGACTAGTAAACTACAAAAGCTCTGGAAAGGCAAGGAAAAGAACTGAATTTGCAAATAGCACAAGGACTGGCTTTTCTGAAGAACTCCTGGCCTAAGGCCTTTGCCATAGGAACCTTTAACATTTAATTTTTTCAACAAAATATACCATTTCAACCTCATTTCTAAACTGCTTCATGGGTATTACCTCACACCAGGAACTGTTAGGATAAAGAGGCATCTATTTTAAATTGTGTCCATCTGCTAACAAGATCTGACCTCACATAACCAGGGAAAACTCATTACCTCTGTCTGTGCCGGAAAACATCCCGGCCAGATTGCAAGACATCTTGACGAACATCTGCCAGAGCAGCCACCGCCCCTTGGGCCACTGCAGCAGCTGAGCGAAGCCTGTGACTGGCCGATGATGCTGATAAACTCTTCCCCACCATACCAGCAGGGCTATGATTCATTCCCTTCCCAGAGCCTGGTTTGAAATGAGCGGCTAAGGCCAGGATCAACCTCATGATAGATTTCAAGTTCCCATCAACAATATCTGCAAAATGCAAACAAAGCCAAGGACAATGTCATTAACATCAAGTCCCACCAGAGCTGTACCTGACCAACCAGCATGAATAGAATTAAACCCAAGGGGACCACGCCAGGTCCATGCCTCTAAACGAGGACTATGCAAAAAGGACTGCATTACAGCACTGATGTTAGCTCTGCCTGTTTTGTACAGAGCAAACTAACTGCCACCTACAGATTACAAGTGTAAACGCTTTGAACAGACCTAAGCCTTCCCTCTACAGCCATTTCCAGCTAACAGTCCAGTAGGTTACGTGGCAGCACATGATAATTACTGAATGCTCACTGGAAAAGCAGAGCAGTTACTGAAGACTACCACTGTACTAGCAGTCACTTCAATTAGCACATGGAATTTGCTTCCTTTTTTTTTCTTTTTAATACTAAAGACCAGAGAACAGCAATGTATTTCTTTAGCAATAGTGTCCTGTACCATAAACAATCTGTAGCACCCTGCAAATACTAACTAGTCAGTTTTAATAATACCACACTAGGCATTTCCCACAGCATACAAACTAGCTCAAACACATTGATCTCAAGTTCACTGCAAAGATCAAAGACTAGGATTTCTCAAAATAATTTAGTCAACTGAGATAGTCAACGTAAACTAATAGGAAAAGGGTTTCCAAATAGAATCATAGAATGGTTTGGATTGGAAGGAACCTTAAAGATCATCCAGTTCCAACCCCCCTGCCATCAGCAGGGACACCTTCCACTAGACCAGGTTGCTCAAAGCCTCATCCAGCCTGGCCGAGAACACTTCCAGGGAGGGGGCATCTACAACTTCCTTGGGCAACCTGTTCCAGTGTCTGACCGCCCTCACAGTGAAGAATTTCAGAATATCAGAGGCTGTCTAAAAGAAAAAGTAATCATAAGTGCTGGAGTCATGAAGGCTGGTTATTTTTGGTATCCAAAAAATTAGAAATAGCCAAAATAAGCCACAGTGACTGTTACCTCCACGTCATTCATAGAGAACATAAAGTTTATGTGAATTGTTTCAAGTCCTAGAACAAGGCAACGTCAGAACTACAACTGGAGCTCTGGAGCACGTGTCCCAGAGTCTTGGCCTGTATCCTATCCGATGGCCACATGACACAATTTCATTGCATTGGATGCCCCCTCCCTGGAAGTGTTGAAGGCCAGGCTGGATGAGGCTTTGAGCAACCTGGTCTAGTGGAAGGTGTCCCTGCTGATGGCAGGGGGGTTGGAACTAGATGATCTTTAAGGTCCCTTCCAATCCAAACCATTCTATGATTCTATGATATCCAGGTTGATACCTTTGCTTATGTAAGGCTTTTACCAATATTGTTATCATTCTATAGTCATGAGATCATAAGACAACTTGCAACATTACTGAAAGAAACCGTACAGTAGCAGTACTGTGGAAACAGGACTCATTATTCTATGTTTAAATTCTGAGTCTCTCACCAACGCCTATAAGCCAACAGCTCGTACTCTTCTGCTAACAAGGGTCATGCACTCCATGTAGCCTGTCTCAGCATTTTGCCACTCTTTCTCATCTGAAGGGCCACAATCAGAACTGTATCCCCTCCCAACACAGTCAGCAAACAGTAAGGATCAGGGCATGTCTTCTACCCCCATAGATCTCCACACACACCAGCAGTCCTTGTGACAGCTGACTAAACCCTGCCGTAGACATGTGATTTTGCACATTGGGTCTCCTCCCTATTTACAGGCCACATGAAACAGTATCACAAGCTTCCAGTGGACCAGGAATATTTTCCCCCTGTCTCATTTCACAGTAGCAGGTTTGTATGTCCTTTCAGGGAAAGATTCCAGGTCTGTATTCCTCCTTACACCATTACTTGATCCCCTGATTGCTCAGTAGCAGGAGAAAAGGCACTTCTATATCTGTGCACTGTGCCGCTACCAAAAGCGGTCAAGAACATAGTATTATTCAACCCAAAACCAGCTACTAAACCACAAGAGGGGAAAATAAACCCTCCCCTACAAACCAATACATTATCTTTTTGATATGAAACAAACACAGAAACAGAATGATCCGTGGCAGCTGCCAGGGGCACATACCTTTTGCTGATGTCTGATGCATGCGGATCTTTTTTGATGCCACAAACTGTAAGACTTTCTCCACATTTTCCCTCATCTCCTGCTGGCTGGTGGGGTTGACCTGAATGCCATTCAACTTCTCACCAGCTAAAGAAGTGAGAAAACTTTTATTACAGAAAAACTGAACCACCTGCAGCCTGTGGAGGACATCACACCACACCACAGCAGGTGAATGTGCTCCAAAGGAGGCTGTGACCTTGTGGAACCCCACACTGGAGCAGGTCTTCTGGCAGGACCTGTGGCCCCACAGGGCCCTCCATGGAAACAACCCATGCTGGAGCACTTCATGAAGAACTGCAGCCTGTGGGAAGGACCCATGTTGGAGAAGTTAATAGAAGACTGTCTCCTGTGCATGGGACCCCACACTGGAACAGGGGAAGAGTCTGAGGAGGAAGGAGCAGCAGACAATATGTAATGAACTGACTACAACCCCTGTTTCCCGTCCCTCTGTGCTGCTTAGGGGGAGGAGGTAGAGAATTCAGGAGTGAAGTTGAGCCCAAGAAGAAGGGAGTATCTCAGCAAGGAGGTCACTCTTCCAAAAATGCCACACACTGACACCATTTCTCTACAAGGTAAATCCTTCCATATCTCCGTTCCAGCCTCATGTGACAGGTTTTAGCACATCTGTTGCAACAGTCTGCTAAAACATAAGGACTTCAATAGAACTGCATTTATGATTGCTCTATATTGTTTTATTTTAAAGCTACTTCTTCCCCCCCTCCCCTCCCAAACTCTGACACCATCATTAACATCTGCCAGTAAGCCTGACAGATGTCAGAGCCAAGGCCAGCCTCTTCTACAGAAGATCTAAAATTGCAAGATGAAAAAGAGTGCCATATGGCATTACTAACCTACAATCTCAATGAGCAAAGCAAGAATGACTCCATCTTGGAGATCTTGTCTCAGGTCTTGGACTGGCTTTATTGTTGGCTTCTTCTTCAGCTGGGAATTCACCCAGGCCACATATGTCTGTAGCTGTTGCTGAAAATAGAAAGCAAAACATTTGCACGTCATCACCATTTCAGTTGCACAGCTCTCACTTTTCTCTTTCATCTTCACAGATCTCATTGTCTTTCACCCTTGAATACAAACACCAATGGTCTCATCCCAAAGCCTCCTGACAATTAACTGACATCACTGCACACTGTGGTGCAGCTCACTCCAGGACAGGAAGAGAAAGCAGGCAGCAGGACGAGACTTATGATGTAAGCACAGCTGAGAAGAGAGCTTTACATTACATTTAATCTAGGTTGGTGCCAAACCAATGCTGTCATGCTCTTATTTTTGGTGCCAGAATTTGTTCACTCACAGCATTTAGTGTCCCATCCACACTATTTTCTTCCACATATCAAGAAAGTAGAAAATCCACAAGCAGAAGCAAGAAACTCCATGTTATTTTCCCATTGAACTATGCCATCTACCAAAAGAAATAACCAAGACAGATTTTCTGGAAGAGACAACAGCCTCCCTCCTTAACACTCCCAGCATGGCTCATTTGTAACAGTTCATGCAACAGGCGAGTGATGCTTTGTTGTAAAGCCCCCTTCCTCCATTTCCTTGGAGCTGCATCAGCATCTATAATGGCTCAGTTTCTATTTCCATACATGTGGAAGCTGGCTGGCTGCAGCATTTAACACCTGCAAGACCTGAGAGCAAGGAGCACTGCCTTTCCAGCAGGTCATGCTGGATGCTGCTTCATACAGCTGTGTGTGTTGCCCCAAAGGGGAAGACCAGGGAAACTGGAACTCTGGTTTCTAGTCAGTGTGAGGACCCACCTGGCATAAGTGACTGAAAGGCAAAGAGCAGATTCACATGACCTTTCCCTTTCCATCCTCCTCTCAGCAGCACTTCCATGGCTAGTAGGAGCACTGCTAACACCGGAATGCCTTTGGGCAGGGCTGGTGTGGTACATGGATGGTAAACAAACTGATCCATTTATGGGATTACCTCCCTTTTCACTAAGCTTCCCATTATTCTGCCAATGCACCAGGTTTTAAGTCTCCATTCCATTTTATCTCAGCAATGTCAGTCAAGAGTTTATGCTTTTACAGCCTATCAAAGTCACAATCTGATCACAGCTTCACTCTTAATTATCCTGACATAGGAAATCCAACTTTAATCACACCATGGTTTGGTCTGCTGGTTCAGAAAGGTGATTGGACCTATATTCAATCAGTTCCACTCACTCAGCAGAGAGCTGGAGAGCAGAACGGGGGAGATGAGCTTGGGGGACTGCCTGATGGCTTTTGATAAAAAAAAAGAAGCAAAAGTGGCACATCTGAAGCATGCTTGATGGAGCAGACTTGGCCTGGCACATGGATTGAATCTGCACGCTCTTCTTTGGCTATAATGGCAATGACGCGTGTCAGTTTTGCCTGCCCAATTTCAGAGGTCTGTATTTTCTACTTCATGCAACTGGGCACTGTGGAGACCAACAAGCTTTGACTGTCTCTCTCCTGCACAAGTTGATGATCCTGTGCTTCTTTTCGTAACAGCAGTGCCAGCTGCAAAAAGCACCCCTATCTCTCGCAATCGTATTTTAACTAATCATGTGGGCATTGAGGTTCAGTCTCACAAACAGTCTAATGCCAGAGAGAACACAAGCCTTCTGTTGCACAGATTCAATAAAGCTCTAATTTATTCAAACAAGTACCAGAGAAAAGAGGTAGGTTTGTTTATAGTAATACAGCATGATTATAGAAATACCTAGAGTCTTAAGTAAAGTGGTACCACATAGGATTGGGGCATGAAAACTGCATCTGAAGTCTATGCAATTTAGAGAAATAATCTTATCACAGTTGTGTTTACTACCTTGTTGTCATTTTTCAAATAATTTTACAAAGTTCTAAACTGTCATATTTTACTAATTCCACAAGGGTGGAGCCCCTTCTAGCCTAAAGAAAATGTGCAATTTTTATAGGATGCCATATGGTTCTTCCATTCAGACACTTCTGGTTTCACTCAAATGAAAAATAGACAGTTCCACTAAGCAGTTTGGTTTCTATTTCTTTTCTCTGAACATTCTTCAAGCACTCCTAAGAAAGTGTTGGCAGCTATGCTACTCCAGCTTCCTAAAGGGCCTCCAAACTTCACAGGATTGAACAAATACCTAGAGCTTCCCCTTGTTGGCTTAGAACCTGGCATGGCTGACAGATACATCCGAAAACAATCAGAGAAAGAACAGCTATCATTCTATCTGGCTCATCTTCTTCCTTCATAAGAATTTAATCATTAGCTGAGTAACCCTTCCTTCAACCAGAAAACACAGGAGTTTTCTGCTTCTCCCTGCATTTTGGTTTGAGCATCTGTTCAGCCAAATCTTAGACTTGATGGGGCTCACACTGCTCTACCCCTGAACCAATATTTCTTTCAAAACTAGGATTTTTCAGAAGAAAAACATATCAGCCTAGTTTAAGATTTACTATGCAGAGCACATGTTATTAGGATTACAGTAGAGTTATGCTTAATCCTATTTATGTTAGCACGGCTTTGTGTTCCAAAAAAAGGCCAGGTTTACCTGTACATTACAATGGGAAGAGTAGTTCCATTACCTGAATTAAGTCACAGCCCAGATTGCTTCAGTTCCTAGGCAGATCATTGTAGGGTGTTTCTATCCAAGTCACTCCAGACTCCTTAAACGATTTTGCAGAGCAGGAGATTTTTAAAGGAAGGTACTAGGGGTGACCTACAGTTGTAAGGCATTTCTCAACTTGCAGGCACTTCTGCTGGCAAATTACAGGTTAACACTTCACTAAGTCCAACACATCTCAAAGCAGGATTTTACTTTGAACCTCTTATTCAGCACGTACTCTGAAGAAGTGCCTCAGACCTACTGGCTATAGGAAAACAGCTGGAGAGGTCAGGAGAACCCATCTTTATACTTTCAACTGGCAGGAGGAAAATGCCTTTCCAGGGTCAGCACATTTTTCTCAGCAGCTGTAATCCTTTACTGATAATTACAATTAAATGTCATTATCTATTATTTTCCACAGGTGGAAGAAAAGCAGCAGCTCTATTGCAAATCTCCTGCCACTTGTAGGTGTCCTTGCTTATTCTCATTTAACCAGTCCAATTCACCACCTGCTGCTTAGGGCTCATGTTTCTCCCCCCTCAATCATCAATCAGTCCAGCCTGTCTGACAGTAAATATAGGTAGATCACAATGCTTTGATACGCTACTCTGCTCTTTATTGTGCCAACTACATTACACTGTATAAGGTTAATTTTAATCTCCTCTAAGATTAGGGTATTTCACATTTTAAGGTTGGCCAAATCTTCATTGTTAGACAAAATCATTCTATATCAGGCCAATGCCTTCAGAGGGCCTGATTGCCTTGCTGTCAGGTTACAGTAGACTCCTGTAACACTCTCTGCTTCTAGGAAGAGATTATTTTTCTGCATTCACTTGAATTTGAATCTATCCTTATTGTTGAATTTTTCAGGGAATCAGCCTGGAAGAATAATGTTTCTCATAATCTTTACTCTGCTTTTCCTTTGTACCCTATAGACACTGTCCAAGCAGCAGGTCTAACAAGGTCAGTAATAGCCCTCGTAGCATGAGGTTGGTCCCAGTCTGAAAGGCATTTAATGTTCTGTCTGTTCAGAGCACTGAACCAAGTGTCTCCAACAGAAAAGCTCAAAGGCGAGCCTAATTGCATCAGGATGTAATAATGTTTAAGGCCTTGTATGACTTCTAAGCTTCCCATTATTACCTTAATTAGATGGGAACTGTCATTTTCCATCCAGTGTTCCTCCAGTTTGATTTTTTTTTGTTTTGTTTGAGAAGCCCTTTGTAGAATCAGAAAGTACAAACTCACAAGCAAAGAAAATGTTTCTCTCTGCTCTCAAAGCCAGCAGAAGATTTTTTTTTTCTCCTCAGAATTGCTGCTTAAATGTTATTCAGGATGTTTAATGTATTGACATAGCTCCTGATGCATCCAACGGTGAAAACTGCTCAACTATGACCAGAGTGATGCCAGAACAACCCCATGCACAGTCCCACAGGTCTCCTCTTTCACTAAACTCTTACTTTAAAGCAGGAGGTGTAATTTCATTCAAAATAATTTTTGGTCTGATGTGTATTTTCCAAATCTTCCATAAACAGCCTGTCTCAAGCACAGAACATGCGACAGTTTGGAAGAGGAGGCACCCATCCAATCTGGTGCACAACAGGAGACAGAAACAGTGTGTGAGCAAGCAAAAGACCATGAGATCCTTAATCCTTCACCCATATCTGAGTGAAAACATGGACATTTCCAATACCTTAACATGTTTGGATAAGGATTTTTCACTGATTCGCTGAGAAAGTCTAAGGTCTGTCAAAATAAGTTGCACTGAGACATTCCCTGATGCTTCAGAAAAAAAGGATTACCCTGAAGTCTTGATGAAATTCTAGCCAGCACATGTTTTCTGTAACTTCTAAGGTCCATTTCAAAGACTCAAGCAGCATAAACCTTTGGGAGGAGCAGCCCAACAATGCCCTTAACCCGTGCTATTTTATTTCTGTAGAACCAAAGAGTTATTTAATTTGTGCAGAACAAAAGCCTGATTATTACATTTTTCCTTTTAATATAAGAAACCTTTTCCTTCTATTGATCTTTTGCCAAGCCATATCCTTGCTGTCAGACAGTGATCTCACTTGTGCCACCCATCTGCCTGATAGGGGTATTTTTGTGAGTGGTACCTAAGTGAGTTTTCTTCAAACAGTAATTTTACAGTCACTTTTCATAACAGCACACGCCAGCATTCTCCCTGCAGTTAATCTGATTTCTACATCTACCTCCTTTAACTCCAATCTCCTGTTTGTAAAAATCCTGGGATTACTCACTATACCTTCTGCACCCACAGTGGCAGTTCTGTGTACCATTTTTATGTTCAGAAATCTGAAGATAGTATCTGTTCCTTAAACAAATTCATTATCATTGCAGGCAGCAACTACTCCAGAAGTCTACCAGATAGAATGTAATGTAAAATGAATCTTGCTAGGATATACTCCTTTGAATCAACAGTCAGACATCTATGCCCCAAAATGTCACTGTCATTAGAAGCCAGGTTTAGGGATAATTTCTGTCACTTTTGCAAGATGTTATAATGCCTCTGTGTTTTCCCCAATCTGGTATTTTGGGGCCCCTTTCTCACACAGTCAGTGTTTCTATGCAAACATACAGGCAAAAAGCTGAGCCACAAGACATCCTTTACTGTAAACCGCCAGTACTTTGGAGCACATGATTCACCCTGAATTATCAAATGGTTCCACTACGCCCAAAGAAAGTCTAAGGTCTGTCAAAATAAGTTGCACTGAGACATTCCCTGACGCTTCAGGAAAGAAAAGAAGCATTGTTCCTTATTTAGCAGAATGCTGTCACTAGCCCTGCACAGACAGGGAAAAGAAGCTTTATGAATAGACTGAGCACACAGAATGACTGAGCAGTGCTTTTTGCAGGCAGAACCTTTCATATGAAGAAAAGGGGAAGGGATGCTCAGTGAGGTTGCCTGGTCCAGGATGAAGGGCACTAAAGGCACATTTAGGACAGACTCTCACTCAGCCGATGACTTGCTGTTGATTTGGCAGCCCACTTTACGTCTGTGTGCCTCAGTTTCTAGCTATAAAGCAGCTGTACTATTTTTACTATGTTCCTTGTAAAATGCTTTTTTAACAATAAATCTTTAACTGTTACTGTGCAAACGCACTGTCATACACCCTGCCAAAGGACAGCCACTGCTATGCAATCAAGTAATAGCCTGGCTTAGACATACTGTGAACCTCAGGCAGGTTTTGAATCCTAACTGTTCAACCCCTAATCCTCTATAACAGCAAATACATCCTATTGCTGGCCAGGCACAAGGGCTTTGGGAAAAACTGGTAAGAATTCCTGCTAGAGCAAGCAATTGTCTGCTAAAGTATATCTCCATGTAAATCCAGGTGTGGGAAGCCCCAGCTGTGTTTTCTGATGTCTGTACTTGAGGCTTAGCAGAATTAAAATGCAGAAACTGCCCAGTCTCTCAAAGACTAGACAAGCAACCTGGCAAGGTTCAGGTGGTTCTTCAGATCCCAGCCTTTCACACTCTGGCCAAGCCTTAAACAAGTGTTCCTGTCCATCCCGTAGCTTTAACAGCGTAGAGCAGACGTAAAATACTAGTGGATTGATACCAAAACAAAGCTGATGTGAAATGAGACTTGGCCCTTCTATGTGAAAACCAGCATGATCTTTAAAGAGCTTCGTGTATTTAGTAAAACCCAGGCTCAGAGGGATTTGGTACTACAGGGAGCATTTAGTTATGGGCTGGTCCTAATAGGCTGAGTTGGATGAGGGAGACAGGAGTCTAAACAGCTCTCTTCATAGTGAATCCTATTAGCTATAAATAGCACTCATTGCAAGAAGAGGGTGAGTGCAAGTTTCTTCTGCTAAGATCGCAGTAGCAGAGACATTTTTATCACAGATCAAGCATGTGACACCAAAGGGGACAGAATGGCAGCCAGAATAAGACAGTAGCAAGTCTATACTGCCAGAAAATTACTTCAACCAGAAAAGCAAACCAAAATCAAACCCAGGTCATTTCCCAAAGCAAGATCTCACAGATAGGATGCCATTTAATCACCTCGAGTCCACCAACAGATAAGGCAAACCTTGAAGAATGAGGGCGAGAGACTATACTTGTGGGAAATCCAGGAAACACCTACTGCAGATGCCACTCAGCTAAGAACCCACTACTCAAGGGAAAATACTACATGAAGCACCTGGTGAGGGGGCAGGCAATGAGCAGCCTACTAGAGTCACCAAAAGAGCCAACTGGCCAGAAAAGATGCTCTATCAAAAGAACAGACACTGAATCAGCAAGGTAATTTCTGCAATACCCCAATTCACTGCTTGTGTTAAATTAAGTCTGACTTTTTATCTTGAATCTATTTTTACACCTAAACATTTGATTTAGTAGCCATTCACTTACAGCCTTCTAACATCACAGTGCTGTGTTAGAATCAGACAAGACACCTTGGGACACACTTTCACATTCAGGGACTTTAAATAAGCATCTAAGGTACAAAGACATAGGGGAGGAAGTACAGCTCATGGATCAAAACAGAAGGCGTGGAATTACAGGGTTTCTTGTTCATTTCCAACTGTGTCTGTGATCTATGTGATGAATGTCCTTGGCAAGTCACTTAAACTCTCTGTACCGTGGGTTCTGCACTTGCAAAATTGATTTTAATTCTACTTTTGTTACAATGTGAAGTGCATGATGTGGCAGAGAGATCCCAAGTGGGAGACATGAGAGTGAATCTGTTTTTGTGGTGGGAGAGGGACTTTTTTTCCCACAGCTGAGCAGTCTGTGGGTAAAAGTCACTAGCACTGAATGTAAAACTGTTATTTGCTCCCATTATTAATTATATTATTAATATACAGGTTACTATTAGCTTATGCCAGAGAAGGATCTGATGCCCTCAAGCACAGGAAGTGTAAGCTTGAGCTAAAGCAATGTCTTAGCTAGCTAAAAATGAGACCAAGATACTCTGTGGAGGAGGGGATGGAGTATGTACACAGTTACAAAGAGCAATCAAAGGAGACCTGTGGCTGACGTGAAGCTGTGAGGTTCAGGTTTCATACCCACTTTGTTTTCCCCATGATAACTGGTGCTGTTAAGCCCAGGAAGGACCAGGAAGGATGTTCATTTTCTGCAAAGAATGGAGCATGGAGGCAGAACAGTCAGGTGGGGCCTGAGATTTGCAAGGATGAGGAACCACTAAACACAAACAAAAATAAGCTATGCACTCTAAGAAAGAATAAACCACATCAAGACACTATTGCTGCCACCAGGTGAGAAGGCAAATAAGAGCCACTGTTTGGTTTCAGCACAAGCCCCACAATTTTCCTTCTTTTTCAGCTTACAGACAGGAAATAGTGCTCCAGGATGGTCTGCATGATGCACAGCTGCCCTGGCTGCCCTGGCATTTTGTACTGAGTCCATAGAGTGTCCAACAGAACTAATTCTTTTGTGTTGCTTAAAGAGGGAAGCCAACAGGAATCTGCATTCCCCGTGCAATTACACAATTCCCATCTCTGGAATTTCTTGGTACTTCTCACTCCTTATTTTATGATTTACTAGTCTCCCTAACAGCAGAATAAGCAAATAAAGAACACTTTTAAAATTCTATTTTCCTGACCAAGATGAACTTCAGTATCCTAGAGATTCAACCTACAGAACAAGATGGGGAAAAAACCAGCCAGCATGCTCTTTGTCAGCCTCTCCCAAGAAATGTGCATCCACAAAGCAGATTTACAGGCTTTCCAACAGCCTTCAGACATAGAAACTTCATATACACAGGAGAGGAATCAATTCTATAAAATTAACTGTGCTCCATAACCTTGCTGCAGTTTGTATTATTTACCAGTAAAACAGTAAAGTACTGTAAAGAGAATAAGAACTCCGAGCTAAAAATATTATCTGTAAAACAGCCACAAACTCTTCAAAAAACTATTGCTGATTTGCAGACCCCTGGCTGAGCTACCCAGTATGCCCTTCTGTGAGTAAGCAGCTCTCCCACCCTGAGATCTTGCTCATTTTTCTTCTCTGTTCCTCAAGGCACTCAAAGCACCGGGAGACATAACATTCCTGAGAGATGCTGCACAAAAGCATGCTGCCTTGCCCCGAAAAGGTCTGTGTGAGATGTGGGACATGCATTTACCTCCGTGAAGCCCTCCTGAAGAATGTCCAGTAAATTCCCCCTGGCCAAACAAGCAAGCATTCTCCACAAGCCCACCGACGGGCGAGGGTCTCAGAGGCCACAGGGTAGATCCTCCAGCTCTGGGCACGACCTCTTCCTCCTCCTCCCAAAGACAAAGAGTTGGAGCTCATCAGGAACCGCATTCATAGTCCCATATGTGCAGCCCGTTACGGCACACAGTTGAGCCAAAGTCAAGGCTTGCACTGGGCATGCTCGAGAGGGAGCTGCTGGGGGAGTAACGGGAGAGATGTAATACGGTTCCCATAGAAACGCCTCAGCTTACAAGATGCAGGCCCAGGACTGAGTTGGAGAAACATCTGAAATCCATTTCCAGCAGTCGTAGTCACACAAAACGTGCTGCGTAAAAGAGATTTTTCAAACCCACCAAACACAGCAAGTCCCGTATGGTGTGGGGGCTGGGAGAGAGTCAACGAACAGCAAATAGCAGATGCCTTGCTCAGCTAGAAAAGCAAAAGGAAAGACTGTAAGAGCTGCCAGCTTGAACTCTCAGCAATCGTTCCGCAGGTCCGAAGGAAAAGCAGCATTGTCAGCAACCTGGTAGAGGCAGGAAGCTGCAAACCAGGCCACAGCACAGCTAGTAACACTCGCACTGTACTCAGCCCTGCTCTAGGCGCCCTGGCAATGAAGTCAAAAGAAGAAAAAAGACAGAAAACTTTCCAACTCGAGTTAAATACAACCCACATCAGTTTTTCTAAATCTATAATAACTGCATTCATTGAAGAAACAAGTATCAAATGTCTCCAGGCAATCTCTCAAAACTTCATTTCACCTTAGAGGAAATGCCCAGAAAAAAAAGATCAAAAACTCTCAGAATGGATGAAGACACCTTCTGCCAGGGGATGGGCTACCAGTCCACAGAGCAACACTGCAAGTACTGCCCAGTGATATCATAGAATCATAGAATGGTTTGGATTGGAAGGGACCTTAAAGATCATCTAGTTCCAACCCCCCTGCCATCAGCAGGGACACCTTCCACTAGACCAGGTTGCTCAAAGCCTCATCCAGCCTGGCCTTCAACACTTCCAGGGAGGGGGCATCTACAACTTCCTTGGGCAACCTGTTCCAGTGTCCGACCACCCTCACAGTGAAAAACTTCTTCCTAATATCTCATCTAAACCTCCCCTCTTTCAGTTTAAACCCATTTCCCCTTGTTTTGTCATTAGTTGTCCTTATGAAAAGTCCCTCCCCAGCTTTCTTGTAGCCCCTTCAGGTACTGGGAGGCCGCTTCAGACTGTTCCTTCAGATTTCAAAATATTACAGAGCTTTGACCTACTAGAACACCAACACAAAGACAAAGTGCTCTCATTATATGTGCCAGGTTTAGGTACACGCCTGCTTATGGTATGTTTTCCATCAGAGATTTTGTCATCAAAGCTTTGCTTCTACATGGGGTTTCTTATCTTTGAAACAGAACTGCTTCGCTTTGACAATATGAAGGTCAGAGAATAGAAACCAGGCCATTTCTGATGGCTAGACTGAGAGGCAGTGCTAGCATGCTGAGCCATTCTTCTGTTTATTATGGTAACATAAATGCTTGTAGGGTGTATGTGTGTGCTGAAAATACCTTTTAAAAATTAAATGGTAGTTCTCCTATTTTTGTGTTTCACTCTTAAATTTCAAGCTTCTTATAGCAGGAATCATATTTTTCTTTCAGTTCTGTACCATCGTAATCGATGCCTTTGAACATTATCTTTGCAAGAAGCAAACAAAACAGCCACTCACTAAAACTAATGCTTCGTAATTCTCCCTGAAGATGATTCCAAAATGAAGGGCACAGGGCAATGATATAAAAAGGATCACCGGATCCTGGTGTGAGTGACCTTCAAAACAAGTCTGCAGGATGGCAGTTTGTTTGGTGGCATTGCCCTCTCCTGGCCAATTTCAACATAACGCTAACCTTTGTACTTGCCCCTTTTGAATTAGGTGCATAACAAAGCCCTGTCACTGCCCCATTTCCTGTCATTGTGATGAGACTGTTGTCATGTCACAGCAGCACCACCAGTATGACCACAGAAGCCTTTCTACAAGCTTCCCATCCAAGAATTTTAAGGCACTTTATCAACATTCTCTGATTGTTTCACTTATCAGCTCTCAAGAAAGAGAGAAAGATCAATGGCCACAGTTCAGCTCTTCCTAATAAAATTTTGGTTGGGGAAATCAAACTAAGTGAGGTGGATTCAGAAACAAAGGCTGTGAGGCTTGTGAGGGCATGGCTGCAGTAACAGCAAAAAGCTGCCTAATGCAACTAATGCCTTTGTGTCACTGAGTGTCCCCTCCCAACCTCCCCATCAAGCATTCAAAACAAAGGTCAGACACAAAAAGGACTCCTGGAAACTCACAGAGGCTGCAGCAGGCTGTGATGTGTGTTGGGGCACCACGTCCACCAGAGTTCCCATGCTGGATGCCACAGCTTAGCTCAGTGCCAAGGGGAATGGTCCCAGCACTCCTTTCCCCTGGAAGCCTGAGTGGGAGAAGCAAATGTATTAAACACAAAGGAAAGAATTTTCTTAGAGGGAAAACAGACTTACCAACAAAATGCCTGAATATAACCAAAACAAAGGAAGAAAGCTGCCACCTCCTTTCATTTCCTGCAGAAAATATATTTAAGGTCTACAGTCTTTGGGAAAGTTAGACATTTTTATATTTTCTTCCATGTGTAATGTATAGTGGTCAGAATTCCCCTGAAACACATGTAAAAAAGATTCCTGAGTACACTGGCTTACACTGCACATAGGATCTAATTATCTCTTCCCATTTATGGAGAGAGAATTCAAATTCAACGGAAGTTAAATACGCCAGCCAAAGCTGTACTGGTCCCTAGTGTCAGATATTCAGGGTATTACTTGATTCACTGCATCTAGCCCAGACAGCAAAGATCCATAAATAATGTTAGGAAACAATTCCACATACTGTCTTTTATATTTAGGAATGTTCTGGTAATCCATATTTTCCTTGCTTAGTCTTCCTTTGGAAGTCTGGAGTGACGTCTGTTGAAAGTAAATGTGGGGGAGGTCAGAAGAGTTAACTGAATGGATAACAGTGAGATTCCTTGAGAAAGATTCAATGACAGTAGGACTCACTGGTTTTAAGAATCATTAAAGGTGGGCAGGAGTGCAACCTTTAGGTAGATGGTCACTATTATCTTGGTTATGTCATCCTGGTACGTCTTTAGGGACCAGAAGTCAGGGGTAGGACAGGATGGGTAACAGCAGCAGAGCCAAGGCGGGTTGCTGATGCTGCTGGGAGTGGAGGCATTTTGGGGCTCATTCTGCAACATGGGGCTGAGAGCGAGTGAGCAGGGAGACCATGAGGTGTGGGGCAAGGTTCTGAGGCCTCGGAGGGGCTGAGTGGCCGCAGCTGTCGCTGGAAGCGGGGTCGATCCCCAGGAGCAGGGCTGGTTGGAGGAGACCAGGCTGTGTGTGGGGAATGGTTGGCCCGGGGTCGGGGACTGGAGTACCGGGAACGGGGTTGCGATCCCCAGGAGCAGGGCAGTCACAGAATCACAGAGTCACAGAATGGTGGGGATTGGA